ACATTCATACACTGTTTCAAAGAGCCGTGCTGGCGGAAAGATTCATGGTTGAAATGACACTCCCTCCTCTCTCTGCATGGGTTCACAAGCCCTTCCAGGACTCTCCCTCACTCACCTCAGCACAGCACCACCCTGACAATGCTCCCTGCTGTGCCCAGGACAAGCAGACTGAGCTCATTTTCCCTCGCAGGATGCAGGTCAGACATCCTGCCACAACACATCTGCCCCACAAAGTCCAGAAGCAAATTGTTAGATCTAAAGTACTTCCAACAAATGTGAATTTTTTTTTTTTCGTAAAAAATTTTGGAAGAAAATGGCCAGGTGGCTGTTGGAGAAGCAGCCCAACCTTCAGAGCAAGAGAGTGTAAACACAGAGGAGGAATGAGTTACACTCCTATCACCTAGGAAGAACGCGAGTTCTCACTACTCCTGCTGATGCTCTGGGCTTCGTTACACTCACTTACGTTCTCAAGAGACAAAATGCACCTTATTCTCTATCACCCCTATCCTGTGGTCCTCTACTCACGACACCCTAGGAACAGAAGTTAATACGCAGTTTTTACACTCAGATTTTTCAGAAATACAGCTAAAGCCTTTTCCTTCTATTCGTACAGGGAAAAAATCATTAAAGCATTTCCACTTTCCTTGATTTTTTGGAAAAAGATTCAGAGGAAATAAAGCTTGGATTGAAAAGCACCCACCCAATATGCTCCCCATGTCCCTTTGCCTGTCAGCAGCCTACATCAGGTTCACCTGCATCTGCCGTAAGTCATCTGATAGGCTTCAGGCAGGACTGAGGAAAACCAGAAAGAAAACTTTGAGTCCGGAGTCAGGCAGGGCTGACCTGCCCAAGGCTCCTTTTCTCCTTTGCTACCTCAAACCACAGCAACGCAATTTTCAGGCACTCTCGTAGAGCTGAAGTACCTTTCCTTGCCCCCTCTGTGCCAGAGACCTTTCTAAATTCCTTAACGTTTCCCCTGCGCTACATTCTGAGCTGTGCTTACACATGCAGGATGCTGAATGGAATGGTAACAGCTTCACTTTCTGCTTTGCTGTGACCGAGTGTTTTATGATTGGTTTGTGATTCGTGAGATTTAGACAAATAAAAGAAAAAGAAAAAAAAATCAGCGCAGTCAGAAGAGAAGAGTGAAAATGAGAAGAAAAACAACACAGACTGTAATAGGGAGAAGGATACAAATTCCAAGTGGCATACCATGGAGTTAAGCACTGTACTTTTACCCTCCGAAATATGGAGGCAGAGGTTCTCCCCCTACTCAGGTACAGGTAGGCTTCAACAGAAAGAGAGAGACTTTATCACACTGGCATCCGAAGCAGATGTTTGCCTTTTCAGTTTCAAACAAGCTCCTCGAACCGGTTACGCAGGACAACGCATCTTTACAAAGGAGCAAAGCCTTAGTGCCCTGCCACCTAACACTGACAGACATTTCCTGAGATTACAGGTATCTGGAAAATATTTCCCATTCGGTTCGTAGGGAACATTTACAGCGGCCACGGAAAGTTATCACAACACACCGAGGGACCCCTGGGCTACACGTGTTGCGTTTTTCTGCAGCAGGCAACCAAAAGCTCAACAAAACCCAGCAAAACTAACCTCCCGTCCGTACTTCACCGAGTGGGCTGCTGTCACCTCATCCATCTCGCCCTCCACCATGGCTCCTTCCAAGCACTCGTTCAAGTTTCGATAACCATTTACCTGAAGGGGATACTGACCAAAGGTTTCGATCTTGGAAAAAGTATTGCCTGGATGATGGAAACGACACAAAACCCATGAACTAGCTTAAGGGAACAAAAACTCTGGTCAACTTGTGTTTCTTGTCAGCACCAGGCAGTGGCGCTACTTGCAAGAGCCGACAAACTTCACTGATGTTACAGACAATTTTATCTATTTGCCTGTTTAAAGAACCAGGCAATTTCATCACGAACGTGCAACAAAATCCGATGCCATCGCTGCCACAAATCACAATGCTCAAAATAGTTAAAAAGCGATTCTGTCAAGTCCTTAAACTCACCCTCGTGGACACCCTCCGTCAGGAAAGTCCCATAGAAAAGCTGTACCATTGGGTTTTCAGACTTGTCCCCAGAACTCCTGTTTCCGAAGGAAAAAGCACACATTCACACACTGCTGTCGGCTGCAAAAACACCCTGAGCTGTGATGCAGGCCAAGCCCAGGATTTGGAATCTTCCCACAGCCCAAAGTCAACTTTTCTATCCTAGTGCAAAAAACAGGAAGCTTCTAATTTGTTTCTGTACTCAATGGCACATTATTACACTTAGACTGGCAAGGGGAAAAAAACAAAAGTTCAGACACTACCTTTTGAAATGCAGTTCCAAAAAACCCAGACCTTTCATGTGCCCCAGCTCTGCTAAGTTCCCCTAACAAGCTTACTAGCTCTGCAGGCCATGGTGGCACTGAAGGAAGTCCCACGCTGATGCACAGGAAACGTAGAAGTAACGCTTCCTAAGTGTATTTTGAGCTTAATGAGCATCATCCTCAATAAACAAAAAACTCTCTGGTTCATTCAAAATTTTCCTGCAAAGCCCTCTCGTTTCTTAAGGCGTGGCCTGTAAAGCCTGTTTCTCACCAATCTGAGGTCAAAATCCCAAGACCACAAATACCCACTTGGCAGTGACAGCAAGCTGG